TGAGCAAAAAGATGGGAAGGAATATGTAGTTGTATTTGATTTCTTAGGTATGTTGCAATGAAATTATAAATTTTTTTTATTATATCTAAATTATAATACATAGAGAAAATAAAAATAAAATATATTCATTTATAAAATAAAGAAATATATATATTAAATATATATATTATTAATATATATTAATAAAATAAAGAAACATATAAAATTAAAGAAAAATGAAATTTTAATATATGCATGTATTGTATTTGTAGGTAAGGATTCTATAAGGTATTACAATGAAGTGCCAGTAGAAAAAAGAGTATTTAAAAATTTACAACTTTTTATGGAAAATAAATCACCAAGTGATGATTTATTTGATCGTCTTAATACAACTGTTATGAATAAACATTTGAATGAATTAATGGAAGGTCTCACTGCTAAAGTATTCAGAACATATAACGCTTCATGGACATTACAACAACAATTAGATAAATTAACAAATCCTGATGATACAGAAGCGGAAAAGATCTTATCATATAATAGGGCAAATCGAGCTGTTGCAATATTATGTAATCATCAACGTTCAGTGCCTAAAACACATGCAAAATCTATGGAAAATCTTAAAGCAAAAATAGAAGCCAAAAAACAAGCTATTAATGATGCAGAACTTGCTGTAAAGGATGCTAAACGTGATGCAAAACATGGATCTGTTAAAGAAAAAGTGTATGTAATTAGTAATTTTATTAAAAATATTATTATATATTAATATTAATAAATGTTCTATTTTATATTTGTCATTACAGTACATATGAAAAAAAGAAAAAAGCTCTTGATAGATTAAAAGAACAGTTGACGAAATTGGAGGTTCAAGCAACAGATAAGGAAGAAAATAAGGAAATTGCACTAGGCACTTCCAAATTAAATTATCTTGATCCTAGAATTACTGTTGCGTGGTAATTAAGTTTGATTTTTTTATTGCATATTAGATGTACTAAATATATATTATATTCATAAATATATAAAATATTTAATTTTTTTATATTATTTAGGTGTAAGAAACATAATGTCCCTATTGAAAAGATTTATAATAAAACTCAAAGGGATAAGTTCAGATGGGCAATAGATATGGCTGGACCTGACTATGTATTTTAACCCTATAGAAGATTGATTATTACAAAAAATAACTCCCATTGAGATTGTATTTAGTGAAATTTTTGTTAAAATTGTCGGGAAAAAGTAATGGTATAATTTTCTATATTTACAAAAGATAAATGTGAGAGTGCGGAGACATATTTTATATAGAAAACTACATTAAATTTCGGTAAAGACTTTATATTCAATGTGTAATGGACACATACTCGTAGTCTAGAATTGATCGCTTAGCAAATATTGCATAAAAATTTTAGCGATCATATTTGAATATAGAGGTTTAATTGATCTTATAAATACTAGAAACAAAAATTGATAGTTTGACAAAAATTAAAATTCTTTAGGTAGAAATTTATAATATTTGTGAATTAAGAAAGCAAGGTTTGTGCAAGTAATCTAAATTTAGAGAATATAGCTCAGAGTTAACTCCATTAAAACAAGAATTTTACAATCTCTAAATTTAGAAATGCACAGTAAATATAGGCTGTTGCATTGTACATAGAACTATGCATGAAAACTTTGCCAGCCAATTAAAAGAAAAATATATGTGTATTAGATCTATTAAAACAAATCTGCCGAATGAGCAGCTGATTTTATATTTCTTTAATTTGTCTTTTCTTATGAATGTATAGTGTCATCAGTGGAAAGTTATTTGTATTATGCATTATAGCATTCTAAGTAAGAGCTTTATGCTCCACATGATTTATTTTTAGCATAAAAAATTTAGTATATCAAAATTGTGGTTAGCAATTTGATTTAAATATATTGTCCCAAAAATAATTAGAACATACTAATGTATTTAAAAATAGATTATTGCTTTTAGCAATTTATGCTTTATAAAAAAAATGTTTAGATTATAATAAATGTAAACACAGTGTATCCTTAACATTTTTTTAACATTTGTACACTTAAAAACCTTGTGATCATCACGATATAAAATATTGTAAAAGAAAATTACCGATTTCAATATGTTAGAAATTAATTATCATATTCATAGTCATAATTGAATCTTGTTTGATTGTATCTATTATTGTCATTTTTAGTATTTACAAATCTATATTTAATAGCAAAATACTCAAATTTATTGCAATATTTTTCAAAATCCTTTATATAATATAAATCATTTGTATATCATAAAAGATATTCTATATTTAAAGAATATCTTTATTTATGTGACTAATGGGACTCAAATTATAATTAATGTTTGAGAGTATGAAACATCTTATTTTAATCTATTATAACTAAATCACATCTAGAATAGATCAATCTATTTACTTATTTATCTTGGAATACAGAGCAGAGACGAGTAACTTTTTATTAGCTTAGATGATATTCACTTTGACTAGATTATAGATTTTATAATAAATATATCATTTTTTCACGAAGACATTTATTCATCTTATTAAATTTAGTATTAATTACTCGTCACTGGCAAGATATTCCTACAACACCGTTTTATGCATATGAACACAAACGATGTTTTACACTCATACTTATACATAAATATATGTTTAAAAAAACTGCAATGGTAAAATTATATATATAAATATGTAATTAGAATGGTGGTTCTTTATAACTTTTGTTTTAAAACAATATATTATAAAACAGATTAGTTTAGTTTATTTAAAACTATAGAATACATACTAATACGCGTTTTAAGAAATGTTATGAAGTTATTAAAGGCCACTATTCTTATAAAACTGCCAATTATGTGAAAAATCGCATAATTTAATCGTCTGCTATGCTACAAACTAGTTTCTAATATCTAAATAATTTTGGTCATTTTAATTTTCAATTTTTTTCAGAACTAATAATTCGTTTATTTCAAACTTATTATTAAAATAGATTCTTATAATTATATAATATTTTTTTATAATATTTTTTTTGAACATTAATGATTGTAAACATTTCTGTAAATGAAACTGGTACTGTATATCAGACTAAATTAACTTATACGATGATCAAGTAGACTGAATTTAAAATATATATGTGCGTATATGTATCGCATTATTCTTAATTTACTTAAAGTCATTTGCAATATAAAAATTAGTAACTAACATGGTATATGAAATACAATCAGTAAGTAGGCCTCTGATATCATGCACATAACATCAAATATAACATTTTTAACTTTTACAAGAAGGGAAAAATAAAAATACAATCGATATCTAGTACAATGAAGTGTGCACAAATTGAAGGTGTATGTATATTTAAGTCATTATCCGATTTCTATACGATACTGGAATAATAAAACTTATAGTGCAAAAAAAATTGTTGATTTATTAATGTATTCACCTTTTTTTATTATTATTTATATATTTTCATATAATAACGGAATTAATATTATATAATGGAACACAATAGTTAAAAATATTATGCAGATATGCTTTATTTTAATGTGAAAAAGAATCAGATAATACTCTACTTTTATTGGTTTATTAAAGAGCAAGGTACAATAATATAATAATATATTACTGTAGTTAGTGTGTAATGATAGTAATAAATTATTAATAATTTAATTCAAATAATCATGTAAATTTGTAATAAATATTAAAGATGTAAAAACATACAAACATAACGTTTCATATATGTGTAATACAATTTATATATAATCTCAAATCAAATAAATATTCCTTTAATATATTTCAAGCCAGAAAATAAAGTACATAAATAATATGGTTCACAAATGCATAATATATACGCCAAAAAATGTAATACAATCAAACGTTAATTAAAGAAAATGAAAATATTTGTAATTTATATTCTGGCTAATGAAACATTTACAATATATAATATAAACTTTAATTGAAAGGAGAGAATAAAAACTAATGTACAGAAATATAATTTTATATTTAATAATATATAAATTATTGGATTATTTAAATATTATTTAAATTTATAAAATTTGTTATGCAATATTGCAAATTATCATTAATTATATAAAAATCAATATAAGAGCAAAAAACTTTTCATTTCATCTCTCCATACAATTAATACAGTACCATTGTTTAGTATATAAAATATAAAATTTTGATTTAGGATTTTTTTTTCTTTTTTTTTTTTTTTTTTTTTTTTTTTTTTTTTTTTTTTTTTTTTTTTTTTTTTTTTATGTCACAGCAGAATAATTACCAAAATGGTAGTTCCTATTTTAATATAATAGACTAGACTATTCTAAATCACTATTTTATTACGATTATTACACGTAACAAAATAAATATTACACATCAAAAAATTGAAGCATTTTTTGAATGTTTATTTAAGTGATGTTAAATTTTTATTTATATCAATTAATATTTATTTGTTAGGAGAATTATATTTTCTATTATTTCCTTGTTTTTTAATTTAATTTATTTACTTAATTCATTCAATTTTAATTGAATTATCAATAAAATAGCTATTTTCTAATTTCAAAAAATTCACTGAATTATTAATTAAATTATAGAAGTATATTTTTATGAGTAATGCAATTTGATTTATCACACTAAAAATATAAAAGTCCTTTACTGTCTTTCATAAATGTTTATATCAATTATTTCAATCCTAACAATAATAGTAGTAATAATGATAATAATAGCAATAATAATGATAAAAATAATTTTTTCCATCACTACTGCATGTATAACATAACACTAACTAAAAATATTTTATTGTAACTTGTATTTTGATTAATTAAAATTAAAGAAGTTTTTAACGAATTTTATAAATTTGCTGCATAAATATAACAATAAAAAAGCATAAATGCTTATTAGAATATTATTTAAAAAAAAATAATTAATTTTAAACACGCACAATATTATTAAATATTAGCGCATATCTCAATATTTATACTAGTCACTTTGTATTGCTATAATTGAATTGAGCAATACATGTTGTTACTCATAAATTATTGTGTATTGCAATGAACTCATTCATATTACATATTTGTTCATTTTAGAATTATACAAAGTTTTGAAAATTTATCACAATACATCGAGATAAAAACCGATGTAAATTAATACATACAATTTGATGATCAAAATATTAAATTATGTAATTTCATTCTGGATCAGTTTCTCCTTCTCCAATTGTCAATACTGTAATAAGACCAGCAGCTGCTACCTTAGCTTTATATGTTTCCGGTTCGAACCAGCGAATCGGTTCCTGTAAAATAAAGATAATACTTAATTGCATAATGATCATTAAATATTATGTAATAAACATTATATTTTGCACATTACCTTTTTATGATGTTATGAGGAGCATGCTTTGAAATCGTAAAGCAGATGTTAAATGGTTTATGTAAGTACATGCCATTTTAGTACACAAACATTTTCCAATATAATAATTTTTAAGAAAAATAGGAATTTGTTATACTTTCGTTACAATATATATATCACATGATTTTAAAAAATACAAAGTAAAAATGTTTTATTATTTTTAAAATTTCATAAATGTTATACAATAATATTTATAGTATAAATTGTTTTCAATTTCTTATATGATATATTCAATACTTCTATTATATTTCTCAAATAATAAAAATTGCAGTAACTTTTTTTAATTCATTTAATATTAATCATTTTTTGAATATTTAAATTTAATATGTATTGAAAACTATACAATTAGCAAACAAATTATAATATTTATGAAATATAAAAACAATTTAAGAAAATATAAAATTTAAGATTATATAATGTATAACAAACGTAACATATGATATATTCGCTTTTCAAATTATTAACCAATGTTTTAAATTCAAAATAAAAAAAGATAAACATTGAGATCATTTCATTTTTAATAACACAAAAAAAAAGAATATATTTAAAAAAGAACAACTTTTTATAGTTTATCACATACATATTATAAAGATCTAATTTCATAATAAACATATTATATTAATATAACAAAATAGTAGTAATTATTTATGTATTACTACAATTTGAAAAGAAATTATGTTGCTTTCAATAAAAAAAGTTATTTAGTAACACAAAAAAACAAATCATATATATAATCAATTTTCTAAATAATACTGATAGAATAATATTTTTGGTTAAAAGCATAAAATATCACAAAAATCATTATAGTGCTACATTAAATTTTTAGTTTAAATACGTACATTTTACGTATAAGTCTAGTAATATATGTTTTTATATTATAGATATATCACTTAAAATATTGACTTTGCAATTTAACAGAAAAAAAGTAAATTTAAAATAATAAAGATTAATCTTTTTAATAAGAATCAATAATTATTAGATAGTTATAATTTTCGAGAATTGTCTGTAAACTAATAAAAGATATCTATTTTTTTATATTATCATGCTATTGTTGTTTTCAATATTATATTAAGAGTATTTCAACAGTGACGAGTATTTTAAAAATGAAATGAGTAAAAACATACAACAATTATTTTAGTATTGTCATTTTGATATAGAAAATAAATGTAACTTCAAAACAATTGAATTAATTTCGAAAAGTTAATCTTATATCATTTTGCAAAGAAAATTAGTAAGTAACATTGTTGTACATCAGGTGATTAGCATTGGTATCACATTGATGTACCTTGCGAACAATGTTGGGACATTCCTTTTGAATGCGAACCCAATCTGCAGGTGGCCGTTTAGCATAAGGGCCTGTTGAACACAGCAACAAAAACTCATATGTGAGTTCTCTAACTTCTGGAACTAAATATAGTGTTATCAAAATATTATGTTTCATATTTAGAAGTTTTTAATAATCATTTGGAATAATTACCTTCCTGAGTTGATGAATTTGGTTCAGATATTATATGAGGTTTATAAGTTTCTTCACTTTCTGAAGTTGCAGCACTATCCATATTTAATTCTCGGCCTACTTCATTTGTATTGCTTGGAGTTAATAATGTTTTTTGTGTATTGGAAGACGAGATTGAATAAGGAGATTCTTCTTCAAAATTGAAATATTCTATACCACTTGTGAAATTTTCAGAATCTCCCAAGAAATGTTCATCTAAAACTAGCTTTGCAGTCTAATATACATATTAATTATGTCAGTAATATTAAATTAAAAATAATTAAAAAATAATACATAATTTTATTTATATTTTTAGGGGAAAAAATAATTACCCTAACAAGATCGAGATTGCATCCTGTGATTTTTAAAGATTGGTTACCAACAGTAACCGTATATTTATATTCGCCTATACTGGCGTCGTTGGTGGAGAAGCTGTGGAGGAGTGAACTTCGTAAACGAGAGTTTTGTTGTTGATGTTGCAATCGATTACTTTCATCTGATGCACTGCTATTTAATGAGGAGCTTGAACCACCCATAGCTCCTTTTTCTCCTCCACCTTGCTCTAATCTCACCGGTGATGCATTTCGTTGTATCGTATCTTTTATCAAATCCTTCGCGTAACTAGTGTGAAGATAAATAAATAAATTAAAATTTAAAATTTTTTAAAATAAAATATCAAATAAAATTAAAATTATATCTACTGTATCTTGTCCTCGGAAGTACCCGTGATTTGGACAAGTCGTTCTTTGGCTCCAGGGTTTACTGAAAAAATTATTATATTAGAAACAATATTTTATAATATTGATCAAATGTAAAATTTGTTATCATAATAAAGTTTATTATGTAAGTAATCATTTGCATTGTGGTTAATGTGCAATTTATCAATGCAAAATTATGTATCAAAAATAGATACTATGTAAATATAGATACTATTCAAACACTTTAAAACAAATTATTTATGCATTAAAACATTAAAAAGTTTAACATTAATTGTGGAAATATTGTCCTGTAAAAAGAGATAAGATAATTTTTAGATATATTTAGAACTATAAGCATTTATAAGCAAAAAAAAAATTATATAAAATATATAAAATATTGAATAAAAATTATAATATGCAATGTTAAATACAATTGCAATATCAAATGCTATTCAATATTTTATATTTATTTAAATGTGACTTATTAAATTGCAAATAATATGCATATGCTAATGATATGATAACAAGACAATTATATAAAAAAATTTTTTAGTAATCACATAACAAAATTTTCACAATAATTTCATTCAATGACATAATAACATAATAACATATAAAGACAAAATATTTCATGCAAATAAAAATAAAGTAAGTTATAACACAAAATATAGTCAGAAATATACATAATATCAATTATATTATAAATTTCTATTTACATGATATTGTGAGAAAGATAAAACTTATTTGTTATATCTTATTAAAAAAATTTACAATAATTTAATATTTTATAAACAAATATATTTATAAATTTCTTATAAAAATATAAGATTTAAATTTCTAATATTTTATAAAATGAATTGATATAATGGAAATATTAGGATATATAAAGATATTAAAAAATATATATTATTGGTTATTTTTATAATGCGTGAACATGATGCTATTAAGCCATCTGCAAATTGTTTGTTTACCTCGCTGGAAGGAGATGATTGTCTGGCTGAGCTCTTCGATCATGTGAACCCGCCGCCCTTTTATTCCCATCACTGTATTTTTGTGCAAATGATTTAGAAGTAGAAACATAATACTTACTACTTACAATAGATGTCAAAAACTAGTAGTATATAAAATATAAGATATATCAAAAAACAGATCCAAAAATATAGTGCAATGGTAACTTAAAATTAAAATAAACCATTCAGAAATTAAAACATGGAAGCCATATTCTACATTATAATACGAAGTTTTACATATATATTTTGCCTACAATGTACATATTACTAATATAATTAAAAATTTTTAATTTTTCTTACCTTTACCAGAATCACTGTTACGTATAACAACTTCATCTTTACAATAGTTTTTCCCAGGAATACGAGTAGGTTTAACAAATTTGCCACTATTTTTTATAACTTCACCAGGTCCCAAGATAGGTGTTACAGTAGGTGAAGTCATAGTTGCCATTGGAGATGACAATGCATTCGTAGGTGTATCAGGAATTGCTTCTGCCTATTATTACCATATAGATTTCTTTACAATTTATTTAATTATATTAAATATAATTTAAAAAATGTAATTTAACATACATTATCCAAATGAGATAATTTTTGTGTATAATATACATCCATAGAATCTGTGTGACGCCATTGTTTAGCTCTTAATTCTATAAGTTCCAGCAGGTGAACCCTAGTCGTCAAATCTAGTCTTTCGTCTTGACTTCCATTTCTGATTGCTACAAAAGCTCTATCTAGCTGATCTATATGTTAACGAAAAAATAATTGGAATTTTTATTAATTTATTAATTTATTAATAGCTAGAATTATTTTTTTTATATTATAAATATTTTTAAACTTTATATTATTTTAAATTATACCTTTATAAATAGCTTCTAATTGATGAGCATAAAGTTTTAAATGATTGCACATTGTAATCACATTTATTTGCAGCGCTCGGTCATGGAAGCCATTTGTTAGTTGCATTGCAACATTGTCGATTAAGGAGACTATATCCTCCACTGTAAAATATAATTTTTAAATTTAATTATACATTAAGAATATAAAAATATAAAAAAATTATATTATTAAAATCCATATTATATATATATACATATATATTTTAAATATATATTTAAGTATAATGTAGAAAAAGAAAATTATATAAATAAATTAATGTAAATATAATTATAATAATTATTATAATTATAATAAAGTAATTACCAGTCGTAATCCGCCCATCGACGGTCGCGTGGCGTTGATTAAGTTTAAGCGGTCGAGGTTTTTCAACTTTCTTGATGGTTCGTGCTCGATTTAGTTGTGTAGCGGCCATTCTTTTTAATCTTAAATAAAAAAAAATAAAAAAAATAAGAAAATAAAATAAATAAATTATAATAAAAGATTTATTAAATAATTAAAGATTAAATATAATTTTATAAAATTATAATTAAACATAATTTCTAATTATTTAAAATTATAAATTTATTTTCATAAAGTTAAGAATATATAAATATATTTTGAAAAAAATAGAGATAAAATAAGAATATACTTACATAAAACTGATTTTTTTTCATAAACTATGGGATGTTTTTATAACATGACATTATTCGATATTTGATTATTTATATAATTAATATATATATAAATGTTATTATGTTATTGATGTTATATTATTAATGTTATTATATTTATATTTTCTAATAACTTGAAATCATAATAAAATTAATATTATAAAGAAAATATAAAGAAAAACGGAATATATTATCTTAACTTTAATTACTTTGAAAAGTATATTCTAAATTCTCGATGTATAGTTTTGCGCCGCGGGTGATTTAAAAATAACTAAGGAAAAGAGTGGTTTATGAAGAAAATAATTAATAAGAAAAGAAAAAATTAAACATTTAATATATACTAACGCAAATTTTAACAATATTTATCACAGTTATTGAAATTAATGCGAAACATAGACTCTTTACAATAGCAGGTTATTTTACTATGGTCTACGTAGAGATAAAAATAATTTATAGTCCTCATGCGAGCGCTCTGGCACTTTCGACATCTTGAAAGGCACGTTAGAAGAAGAAGGAAAATGTACAAAGAACAAAGAGAGATAGTAAGCAAAAGAAAGGGGAAAACAAGAGTGGGAAAGGAAAAGTGGAAGGGAATAAAAAAGAAAAAAAAATGGAAGAAAATATAACTTATTAAAATTATATAAAATAGAAAATAAATGACATAAATAAAATCTGATATATATAAGTAATAAAAACTAAATTCTATTAATGCAATAATTAATATGGCTAATATTACAAAATCTAAAATTATGAAAGCTAACATACATTATATCAAACATTTAACATTTAATATTTTAACCAAATTATTATATTCAAAAAATAGTTATCTATATTTTAATTTTTATCGTTAAAAAGACACTTACCACCACGTCGGCCGTGCCACAGATCAACGACAGGCAGACCGTCTGAAAGAAATTGGTAAGATATGTCGTTGACATACGTTACGAAGATATATTCAAGTGTCTTAAATTTAAAACAATGATACCAACATGTTTAGAATTCACTAGTAAAAGAATCTAATTGAAGACAATTTTGTTAATTTCATATGATTTCATATTATACAAACATAAGCTTATTACATATGTATAAATAAATTATTGACATTGAAAACATTTTATTCAGTCAGTAAGAAGCATTCTACATGATGATGATGATGATGATGATCATGATAATGATAATATAATAATAATCAGAATAATCATAATAATTATAATAATATTAATTTATAATAATAATAATTCATTCATAATAACCATTTGTAATATACAATTATCTCTCTCTCTCTCGCGCGCGCGCGTTCTCGCTCTCTCACATACATTGAATTGTCTTAGTACATAAATTATACAAAATTCATTAATAAATGAAACATTACATTCTTCAGACTATAAATGTAGTCAATAAATCATTTTTATCTCGTTTTTGCTGCAAAGATACTTTGTTTTTCTTTTTAGTTTGGTATTCGGCAGCGTTGTTGGATTTGAAGGACTACTTTAAACTCCCTGCTCACAGTAACGTTTACATACTTTGTGCTTTCTTTGTACATTGCTAAAAAATTCATACCTGCTAAGCAGGTCAAAGAGATAACAAACTCTAAATATTTTTTTTTTTATAAGGCATAATATGTATCATATATTTCATAACAAAATTACGTTATCAGTAAATGTATAAATGAACAATAACACAACAATGTAAACGTAACTGATGCAGTTCTATTATTGTAAATTCATATTTCTATTGATTTGAGGTAGTGTATTCAATGTAATCCTATTACTTTGCTGCTATATGTTGTGTGTGGATATGTGTTTCATATGAATATTTTTTACACCCATACACTTTTACTATAAGTCCAAAATATGTAAACATATCAAGAACTTTATGTTTAACAAACAGATATGATCATAAGATATAAATATTATTTAATTCAAATCTTTTTTATCTATTGCAAACAGCATGATTTTTCAATGAGTATTTATAAACAGTTCAGAAAGTAAAAATGATGAATATATATTATTTATATATGTATATATAAATATACACACACACACACACGACTTAGTATTTTGGACTTACAGTTATTTCAGTTGTAAGTGTGCTTCAAAAATTATCATCTATGTTTAAAGTATGAGAAAACTAAATGTCGGGCAAATTTTGAAACCAATTGTAATTTTGCATTAATTATTTTGTGCATGCCGTACATTAAACGAGCATGAGATTTTTTAAGTATACCTTCATTATTAATCAAAATCTTCCCGCTATTCAGTATTCCAACTTCATTACCAAATACGACAAGGCTGCTGACATTAGGCTTGCTAGCACTTGTAAATAATGCCCAGCAATTGTGCTATTCTGTTAGTTTCTTTAACTATTATTCCATGAATAATTTATCACATTTTAATCGTCTTCACAGATTGAAAAAGAGAGGGCATATGTAACATCATGCATTACCAAGTTGGCTCAATCTATGAACACTTTTGTAAAAAATATAACATCTATGGATGGTTGAGCCCTTGGTTAGCATATAACGAATTAGTATTTTTGAAGGTAATGCGTATCACTTCTGCAGGAACAATTACTGGATACAAATATCCATGTAATAATTTATATTAAATGCATTTGATATCATTTTTCCTTTACTTTAAAAGGAAACATTAGTTTTGGGTTTAAAAATATACCCAAAGTTACATCTAATACTTAAAAAATGAAATCTATTTAAGCACAAGATATGGATATTTCTTATAATTTGATTGTACAAATTCTATTCTATTGCAGAAGTGATTTTCGCTCTAGTCTTCGTATATTAGTTTTTCTTTTAATATCACACATACCCTCTCTCTAAAAAACTAAATACAGTAAACCTAAATAGAAATCGAGAAATTGACAATATCAATTTTGAATTTTGACACATTCGTGTTATCCTTATATTACTTTTAATATAAGTTTAACAACTTAATCAAATCAATCTAATTAAAATAACAAATACAATGCATAAACACATTATAAAAAATTAAACTTAACATAAATGATGACTTATATATTCAAGATATAATAGCCTCAACAGTTTACCAGGGGAAAAACACAAACGAAACATACATATAATAGTAAAACTATTAACTACTACATTCTACTCTAAAATAGCGAGAAAATCCTAAGACACGCGATATCGCACGATGAACAATATTTTTAGAAGTTGCAGAATATTTGCAATTTCTAAAATCATTTCTGTTAAATTTGAATTTTCTAATTCTTGCATTGTGAATGTCTTGTGATTTTTACGCTTTTGTAACAATTAATTCAATATCATTCTTCCTGCTATGTTATTGGTTTTCTCATCTATAGCAGAATATCTTAAAATAAAGCAGAAAATTTTTCTGCTTTCAACTTGTACGTTTAACTTGCAATTTTAGATCCTGGAGCCGAAATCCATTATTTGATTAATTGTCACAATTATAGATATTTTTTTATAAGTTAAGCTCGTATGTACTTTGACATTTTTTTCATATACTTAATATCGTCAGAAAATTTTTTGTGACTTATGGAATATTTCAACCCCATAGATAAAAATTGATTTTAGACAACAATTAAAGATTAAAATCATTATTAACTATAATTATCAATTATTACACCATTAGTATGTCTTATGTAGTAATAAATTACCATCGTGCTATTTTATTTCACCGTCGACGATTGTTTTTTTTTTTTTTATAACTAGTTGTTTATGAGTTATTATCTTAACTTATTAACGAGTATTATGGCATCTGCATTTGTCAAGAAGAATTGAAGTAAATTTGCATTTTACCTTATTTAATTATTAATGCTGTACGAAATTCAGCTTTTTAAATTTTTATAAACTCGATTTAATGATGCCGTTTTTTCTTGAAACCTAAAAAGAATCAAATTATATTATAAATAAAAACATTCAGTATAAAATAAGCATATTTAATGAAATAAAATAATTTACTTTTTTTAGCTTTGCCTTTTTTCTGAGCTTTTCTTTTTTTAGCAGATACTGAAGATGATTCTCCAAAAGTTGTAATTTCTTCTCCAAGTGTACCAAGAGTTGTTATTTGACGACGTCTGTGCTTTTCTTGTTTAGTAACAGGTAAACGCGTCATATAATTTTCTTCATATTCTATCTTTCGTTTATTTTCTCGACCTAGACTAGCTTGCTTTTCTGCTAAACCATGTTTATCTTCAATAGGAGCATCTAAATATTCTTCTTTTAATTCTCTTAAAACAGCACCTGATATTGCACGTCTACGAGCTCTTTCTCCTGCTTTACGAATTTTTTCAGTAACTGTTTCATCTCCATCTATGAATGAAAAAAATAAGATATTCAAACGTTATATTTTGGAAAATTATATATGAATGTGTAATTATTGCATACATAATATAGATTCATAAATACTGACCATAATGTACTGCAGCAAGTTTTGGTGGTACATAAATATTAGATTTTCTTGCCTGTATTGATTTGAAACCATCTACTTTATCTTGATCACTATCAGATTCTTCATCATTACTATCAAATGCATCTGGGTTTGCTTTAAAATTAGTTGGATCATCATTGTTAATAGTACCAGTTACAGCAGTCTTAACAAGTTTATCTATTTGATATTTTAATTTGTGATCTATTGGTCGGATTTTTTCTAGGACAGTTCTTATTTCAATTAAGCGATCAATTGATGGATCTCCTTCTATACGTTCTCCAGAACATTTTCTCAAAACCACATAAGTTAAATTAATCAAATAAGAAAGTAACATATGATATTTCATTTCTAGAAAACTAAGACCCTTATCTGTAGAAATTTCTCCATTTTTGACACGGACTAACATATTGTCTACAAGTTGATTAACTTGTAGGACATTAGCATTCATTTCCCCAAGCAAGCGAAATGCCTGTGGAAGATCTCTTTGTTCCATTTCATCAATTGCCTGTAAATATAATTTTTCATTATTGAAAATGTATATTTAATTTAATATAAAACTTGAATACAAATTAAATATACAAAGAAAAATCTACCCTCATTATTGTCATATTTTGTTTAAAAAAAAATGTTTATAAATATGATTTATAATTCATTCATAAAACAATGAATTTATTCATAAAACATTAAATTTTTACTTCACATAAATTTAAATATTCTTTAACAATATCACTTAAAATTTTTCTATCGTCTTCCAACCGTATTTTACACAAGTTCAATATATAAAAATCACTATATAACTTATTTATTTCAATATTAAGCACATTTTATTTAAAAAATGAAATACGCGCTAAATTTTGTTCATAAAATCGAAATGTAACCAATGTTTTTGTATAAGTTTCACCTAAAAATTTATAGAAAGGCTTAATTTAAAGAAAAATGTCGGAGCCATGTATGTACGGGGAAAAAAGCGCAATAATCTGCTGCCATCTTTCCTATTTACTAATGGATGACAACGGAAAAAAAAAACAATCAAAAATTTCCAATAGACCTGATAGAAAAATGCATTGATTTAGACAATTTACGTGGAAATTTATTAAAATAATATACTTAAAAGTTTCCACTTACCTGTACCATTGTTCTGAAATAAAAATTAATCGAACAGATGCATATCTAAATAACGTAACTTGTAATTAAACGAGTCCCCACGTGGGACGATATTTTCCTTTTCGGGGGTATATTTTTTCGCTCGGAAAAGCTTGATCAAAACACCTTCTATTATATAGCAAAAATGTTTTCATTTTTTAATAAAAAATAAAATTTTACTGATTTAAAAATAATGATTGTATTATTTATGAGTATTAAATTTATAATTATAGAAATGAAATAAATTAAATGGTTGATTAAGTAATATATTATATTTATAAAAGGTTCACTTCCTTTTCATTACAAGGATAAAAAATTGCGGGAATTTTAAGAATAAATGCCAAAAAAATTTTTTGTAGGATAATTAATGTTTTAAATATCACATTGAAAATGTACCATATTATGTTATTGTAATTATATTGATTTTTAAAAAAATAAAATTAAACTAAAAAAATATAAAATAAATTTTTTAAAATAAATATTATATTATTTAATAAAATTTAGATAATTAAAATTATTGGATAGAGAAAATATTTAATGTTTATTTTAATTTTGCAATTAAATACTTAATATTAATTTAATAAAATATAAAAAACATAATGTTTATAAAAATTATGAAGTTTTTTTTGTTTTAAACAATTTAAATCGGTAAAAGTTACTATTGACAAATATCACAATATAAAGTAATATATACATCATTTTACTAGGGAATTTTATAAAGCATCATTCTTGTATTATTTTACTAACAAATGTCTCGATATAAACTTCATGTTGAAGTAAATTTCATTTTTGACGTGAACGCAATAGAAACGAGAAGCAATTAAGAATAAAATAAAGAATACGGCGTGGCGCGCCTCTAACGAAAACAATAATTAAAGGATGGTAAGTCTATTTTATTTATTTTTGTTTAATACTTAAGATAAAATATTACAAAAAAAAAAATATTTATTGATCAAATATAGTAGTTCTTTTTTAATATAATATTTTCTAACTTTGCAATGATGGTAATCATAAAATACAATTCTATTAGTCCTGTCAAAAATTTAATAATATTGTTTATCATAGTTACGAAAAAAATATCTTAAGTGTTAATATTACTTAGTTTATAATAATGAATTGAAATTAAAACTATTAAAACTATAAAAATATCATTATTATAAATAATCATGTACATTTGTATTTATATTTATAAATAAATTATGTTTAAATTTATATTCATCGCAATTATAGATATTATTAAAAAGTATTAATTATTTTAATTAATAAAATTCTTATTAATAGGGGAGATTAAAAAAAAGCAATGCAATATTTGTAATAATATGCTTATTAATTGAAACAAATGGCTTTTATGTGCCTGGTGTTGCTCCAGTAGAATTTAAAAAGGGGCAAAAAATTGATGTTAAAGCAGTTAAAATGACTAGTACTCACACACAATTACCATATGATTATTATTCTATTCCTTTTTGTGTACCAAAAAATGGAAGTAAGGATTATAAATCAGAAAATTTAGGAGAAGTATTACGTGGTGATAGGTAAGGATTTATTATTTGTTATTAAATTTTATTTTTTAAAAATTTATTCAATTTATTTTTATAGAATTGTAAGTACACCATATGAAGTATCAATGGCAGAAAACATAATGTGTAGATTATTATGTCATGGACCAAATGAACTTATGACATGGAATGAAAAAGAATCACAACTTGTCATAGAACGCATCCAACATGATTATACTGTACATTTGTAAGCATATATGAAATTATATTTTGTATTATATATGTACTTGTTATAATTTTTTTTATCCTTAGGTTAATTGATAATTTGCCAGCAGCAACAAAAAAAGTTCAGAAAGATACAAATAATGTAATTGTATATCATGGATATCGTTTGGGTGGTATTATGAACGGCCAATATTACATTAATAATTATCTTAAATTAAAATTAAGTTATCATAAATATGGAGAGTTAGTATAAATAATATTATATGATATATAAATTATACATCAAAATATAATTACTTTTTATCTTTCATAGAAATGAATTTAGAGTAGTTGGATTTGAAGTAGAAGCTCATTCAGTTGATGTAAGTCAACTAAAGTTTGATAAAACTACTTGTATACTACCCTCACATCCTCAGGCAAATCTTCAATTTGTTAACCCTAAAGGAACCAAACTTCTATTCTTATATACTGTGGATTGGAAGCAATCTGATGTAAGTTGGGCAAGCAGATGGGACATATATCTAGGAATGAGTGATGTTGAAATTCATTGGTTTTCAATCATCAATTCACTTATTGTAGTTATTTTTCTTTCTGGTAAATATTTATGATATATTTTCTTAAATTATTGATATTTTTTTTAAATTATTTTAAAATATATAAAAATTTTTGATAAAATTATATAGGGATTTTAACAATGATCATGGTTCGAACTCTAAGAAGAGATATTGCGCGTTACAATGCTGGTGAGAGTGATAGTTTAGCAGGCTTAGATGAAACAATTGAAGAAACTGGTTGGAAACTTGTTCATGGAGATGTATTTCGACCTCCTCCAAATCCTCGGTTATTTGCTGCTGTGATAGGCAGTGGAATACAAATATTTTTTATGGCTTTAATTACAATATGTAAGAATTTATATTCTTTTATAAGAAATATATTATTATTAAAATATATTTATTACTTTTATGATATATTTTCAGTTTTTGCAATGTTAGGAATGCTTTCTCCTGCTAGTAGAGGTGCACTTGGAACCTGTGCAATATTTCTATATGTATTTTCTGGTTTAATTGCTGGATATTTTTCTGCACGACTTTATAAAACAATGCGCGGTCGAAAATGGAGAAGAACTGCGTTATTGGTAAATATAGAACATATTAATATAACTGGTATAAAATTTAAAAAATAAAACAAAATTTTTTATATTGTCATATAATTTATTATAGACAGCAACGCTTTTTCCTGGAATAGTATTTACTACTTGTTTTTTCTTAAATTTCTTTATATGGGGAAAGCATAGTTCAGGCGCAGTACCATTTAAAACAATGTTAGCATTGTTATGTTTATGGTTTGGCATTTCACTTCCTCTTGTATATCTTGGATATTTCTTTGGATATCGTAAACAACCATTCACACATCCTGTTAGAACAAATCAAATTCCCAGACAAGTTCCTGATCAATTATGGTATATGAATCCAATACTATGGTAAGTATATAAAAATAGCATGAAAGAATATATATAATTCTTATTATATAAGAAATCAAGTGTATTTATCATTTATTACAGTACATTAATGGCTGGAATTCTTCCTTTTGGTGCTGTTTTTATAGAATTATTTTTCATCCTAACTGCATTATGGGAAAATCAATTTTATTATCTCTTTGGATTTCTCTTTCTAGTTTTTTGTATACTTGTTATTTCTTGCTCTCAAATTTCTATAGTTATGGTCTATTTTCAATTATGTGGAGAAGTAAGTAATAAATAATTATTTTCAATCTTATTTAATATATATACTTATTATATATCTTATTCTTTATTAGGATTATCGATGGTGGTGGAGAAGTTTTATTGTCAGTGGAGGATCAGCTGTATATGTTTTAGCTTATTCAATTTTTTATTTTATGACAAAATTAGAAATAACAGAACTAATTCCAACACTTTTGTATTTTGGTTACACTGGATTAATGGTTTTAACATTTTGGTTATTAACTGGTACAATAGGATTTTTTGCAGCTTATGCATTTATTCGAAAAATATACGCTGCTGTAAAAATAGACTAGTCAATCATTGATCCTATCAGTGATTAAGAAAAGTAACACTGTTTCAATGTGTGTTACAAAGAATATTTAATTACTTTAAATGAAATGTATGTGAAACTAAAATAGTACAGTTTATTTTCAGTTTCGATATATTAATTTCATTTAGTTACAAATGAGAACTATATTTACCAAATAATATTCTTAAATATTATAAAATTGTTCTGTTTATAATGAAAAATATGTAAAATTTATGAATGAACAGAAAAAATTGTAATTAAAGAGAATGATGTATAACTTCATTCATTGCATTATTAATACATAATTTTCAGTTTTTATCGTTTATTAAATCTTAAATATTTTGTATTAAAGTACTTATAATTTATAAAATGAATTCATTTTATAAATTATTCATTTCATTTTCATATATAGAAATGAATAAATTATTAATTAAGTATTAATATTATTTTTTTTAAAATATAAAAAATATAAAATTATAACATTTTTAAGTATAAATAATATTATAAGTTATACATAATGAAGTTGAACAAGTTGTACTATTGGGTAGAGAGAGATTTAATATGTAAAAAAAAAAAGTCGAAAAAACAATTTTTTTCGATTAATTTTTGCATGTAGAATTATTTTCTTATTACTCTTGGATGTACTATCTATTTGACTTTACTTATATGTAATATTAGTTATAGTCAATATCAGTACAATAGTAGTATTAATTCACAATTATTCTTCTTTTTATTACAATAAGATGAAAATTTTACAAATTATGTTTATAAATATTTATTAACACACAAATATGCATTAAATGCATATAATATAACATTAATAATCAGTTATATTCAAATAAATTGAAAGTATACATTACTTCTTAATATTATATCATATATTATGTATTATATCATATAAAATGTTTATCAATTATATAATATTAATATTTTTAGTTAATATATATAATATATAAAATAATAATATTTTAATAATATTTTTGGCATAATTATAAAGATCTGTATTTTCAATTATTCAAGTATTATATTTACTAAATCTGTACTATAGTATTTCATGAAATTTTTAATATTGATATATCATAAACATATAGTTGTATATAAGTTTTATAAATGTGTATTGATTATATTTGCGATTTTTAATATTCTTATTCTTTTTCTATTTTATACATATTGATATACAATTTCTTTTTCAATAGAATAGCTGTTTGATAAAATAATAAAAACAAAAAAAAAATTAAAATATATAAAATAAGTAATTTTCAAAATTTGATAAAGTTGAGGTATAGTTATATTGATTTGAATAACAAAAATAAATAAGATAAATATTTTATAAATAATGTAAATAATATGTAATTAATACGTAAAAGATTTTATATATATAAACACATAAATATTTTTCAATAATCTGAGGTTTATATTTCTATGTTTTTTTCTTATGTTTATAATTATATATTTGTAATTTTTTTGTTTTTTTATTAATATTAATATATAGCAATATATTTTTAATGAAATTTTAAAAGATAATATCGATTTTGTTTTAGTTTACATTTTATAATAAAATATATGAAAATGCACATTATACTAATAATATAAATTTTGATCTCTGTAGATTCTACAGGCATATAACATTTTGATACAGAATAATTATTGGGAGTAAATACACCCTGAAATATAATAACATTTTAAAAATTTATAATAATATAATATTATAAAATATTAATATAATAATATAAAATTATAAAATTGAATTAAATATGTTTTTGAACTTTAGAACATACCAATAATAGTGAAGGATTATCTTTATTACGCCAACTAAAAGATGATATTGTAAATTCTAATATATCTTTCCTATGTATTCTTCTACAACCATGATGGGTGTGTCCATTAATAATAAGTCTTGGATTCAATATATCTAAAAGCTATAAAAATTTCTTTATATAAGTTTAATTATAATCATTTAGATCAATCATTTTTTTAGAATATTTACATACTTGTTCAGATGCTTCTTTTGATAAACATTCCCATCGTTCTCTAAACTTGATATCTTTTATTTCATCTGGTGCTTGATCAAGTTCATTGCAAATTTCATCAGATTCGCGATACATTGGAAAATGCTAATTTAAAAATTATATTATATAATTAATTATTTATAAAAATGATTATATATTATATAATCATTTTTATTTTATGAAATAAAATTATTTACTAACCTGTAAAATAATTGGTCTACTATATCTTGAAATTACATTATCTTTGTTACAATTATTTCCTGTATTTTTTGCACATTTTAAATGTGCTAAAAAAATATTTTTATTTATACATAAGTTTTAATAAATTTTTATAAATATTCATTTTTTTTTAACAAAAATTAATCTTACTAGCAATTTTATTTAATGCAATTTCTGTAGGACGACATAAAAAACATCCATCTCCTTCCAGTGCCATACTATTAATTAAAACAAAATGATTTCCTCTAATACTAACTCTTTTTACACTTGGTGACTTTAAACCATTTACAAATCGTTGATTTAAATATGGTGTAATTCCTAAAAAAATATTTTGTGATTAAAAATATATTTATATAATAATATATTAATATTATAATTACAAAAATTAAAAATATTTTACCATAATGAAATCCAATATCATGATTTCCAGCAACAACATAAAGATGAGTATGTTTAGGTACTGAAAATAATGAATGAAATCTTTGTACATATTGATCAAATTCTGCAGAACTACTCCATTGTCCTTCATCGAATAAATCACCTATTATAATATATTTATTAATTAATTTTATTTTTCATCATTAAACATTTTTTATTAAATACCTAATATAAAAATTATATCTGGTTTATGAAGTGTAATCATAGTTTGAAATGCTCTATACATTTGCCATTCTCTATAAAAAAAGAATGTGAATTTTAATAGAGAAAAAATTTACTTTTAGGAAATTAAATTACTTATTATTTATTTAATTATTTAATTTACCTTCTTAATTTATCAAACCAATGTCCATGTTTAGAACCTAATAAATGAGTATCTGCTATAAACATTGCATGTACAGGAGTTTCTTCTGGTTTGAGTTGAGTAATAGTCATATCGATTTTATGTGGTTCCAAAATAGGCCATGTACACTATTATATTGAATTTAAAATATAAAAATTTTGAATTTTGTAAATATAATGTATGCTAATAAAACTTACCTGAATAAGCACAAGATAATATAACAAATATTCACAAAAAATAAATACACATACTAAAGCTATGACAGCTTCAATTAAATATTTCTTATATGAAAATGTTTTGGCATCTAACATTTTGTATTATTTTTGTAAAAATATTTTCAAAGATATAATTAATAAGTTATATAGAATAGAATTACAAATATCACACATATTCTTTTTTCATTCTATTTGAATATTGAACATTTTCGTATATTATGATTATATATTCATATCATATATTTAACATAAAAAGTATATTTTGTTTTGAATATTGAAAATAAACATACAATATTTTTTGCATGAAATATATTTAACATTTAATATTTTATTATGTAATTCAATTTGTAAATTCATAAATTGCCTTACCATTTTTATTTATAAAATTGTATAGAATAAAATTACAATACTAATAATAATCAAAATTAAAACTAATTTAATTCTCTCAATTTTCTTAAATCAACTAAATAAATATTCTAAATCATAATAACAATTTTTTATTTGATAATACTGAATTCCGAATAATACGATTTTATTAAAGTACATAATATATACATATAATATTAATTTATTGCTTCATTAATTATTTGAATGATTTAGAAAGCAATAACGTTACAACAGTAATCACTAATATTAAAATACTATATAAGTAGTATTAACAAATAATGTATAAACTATATACAACTATATATAAACTATATAGATAAAGTATAAAAGTATAAAAGACTTCAGAGATACCCATAAGATATCATAATATTCTACATGTAATATCAATATATGTATATACATATAATTTATTCATGATATCAAATTTAAAAAAAAAAAATAAACATTATATGATTTAACTTTTTATTATTATTATTATTATTATTATTTTAGTCAGATAATTAAATATCGATATCAAAATTAATATGTACCAATTTTTACTGTATTGATTATAAATTTTATTTAATTTTAAAATAATATTCATATTATTTGTCTTGTACTAGTATTTAACTTTATAAATATTAATCAAATGTATGAAATATAAACAATTATATGAAATATTTATATGAAAATATTTAAGCTTTTAATAATATAAATTAAATATTTATATATATTAAAAATATTATTCTTATAATAAAGATCTTATAAAATTTATAAATTTACAAATTTATTATAAATTATAATGTATATATAATACAATATTGTATTACACATATTTGTATTTTAAAAATATTTAATATTTATAAAATTAAATTAAATCATTGTTCAAAAAACATCTAATTTTTTAAAAAAATTGATTTTGATTTTGATATATATATATTATATATAATTATTTTTTTTTATGTTTTTCAAATATAATAAATTGAAATTAAAGATGTCATGATCTAAAAGTTCATGACCAGCAAACATATTACAATAATTATATGCGTTACCTATAATTATACGCATGCGTAGTAATCGGTATTTCATTTCTGTACAATCTTCCATGTGTAATTAACGTTGTTTTCTAGAATAGGGTATTTCAATATTCTAAAACATGTCACAATACAGATTATTGGGTGCTCTTGCAAATGTTTCGCACATTAGTAAAAATATATCAACACGAACAGGTAATTATATATAAAAAAAGTTATATTTTTATATGAACATTTGTTTTTAAATAATATATCTATATCACATAAAAATTTGCACAATATTGTATTTATTACAATATTTATTACAATATTGTATTATATATAATATATATATAATCTAAAGATATTAATAAAGTATGAAAGTATATAAAGTACGAAATAAAATAAGAAAGAACTAAAATAAGAAAGTACGAAATATTTAATAAAAATTATTGAAATAGATAATAAAATATTATATATTATAAAAATTTGTATAATTTTTATTTTGATTTTATTGTAAATTTTACTTTCAGAATTATATAAATCAATGAGAGCAATGAGTATATCAACAAATTTAAAACATTTGAAATATAAAGTTGTGGATAATGTAGCAGTCCTTACTTTAGACTCTCCAGGAGTTAAGGTATATATAATTCTACTAGTTTCACAAATAATTTAATAAATAAAATAAATTTAATTTTTATTTGCGATATAGGTAAATATTTTAAATTCAGAAGTAATGTATGAAATTGATGATGTTCTAAAAAATATAGAACAAAATTCTGCTGTAAATTCAATAATTTTTATAAGTGGAAAACCAGGTTGCTTTGCTGCTGGTGCTGATATTAATATGCTACGTTTTTTCAAAACTCCAGAAGATGGCTATAAAATATCTTTTGAAGTCAAAAAACTCTTTGAAAAAATAGAAAAAAGTAAAAAACCAATTATAGCTGCAATTCAAGGTACTTGTTTAGGAGGAGCTTTGGAGGTATGTAATTTAATAAATTTATACATTCTATTTTTATAAGATATAGTTTTCATTATTATTCACATTTTTATTTAATCGATATAGATGGCTATGGCTTGTCATTATCGAATTGCTGTAAATGATCAAAAAACTAGTTTAGGTTTACCAGAAGTAATGTTAGGTATCTTGCCTGGTGCAGGTGGTACACAAAGATTACTTCAATTAACATCACTTCCTAATACTTTAAATATGATTCTTACTGGTAAACAAGTTAAAGCAATTAAAGCTAAGCAAATAGGACTTGTAGATCTTTTAGTGAATTGTCTTGGTTCTGGCATTGGAACATCAGAAGAAAAGTAAGATTTGATATATTTTTAGATATAGATATATATATATATATATATATATAGATTTAATATATATTTATAGAAAGTATGAAAATTTTACTTACTTAAAATATTTCCAGTACAATGAGATATTTAGAAGAGACTGCTATTAAAGTTGCACAAGATATTACAAATAAAACCTTAAAAATTGATCGAAGTTCTAAAACATTAATTGATAAATTTCTGAATTATGCGTTATACTTTGATTTTGTAAAGGATCAAATATTTAATCTAGCAAAAGAAAAAGTAATGAAGAAAACTGGAAGTTTCTATCCTGCCCCGTTTAAAGTCTTAGATGTAATACGTATTGGTTTAGATAAGGGACCAAAATTTGGTTATGAAGCAGAATCTAAAGCTTTTGGTGAATTAGGAGTTACACCTCAATGTAAAGGTCTTATAAATTTATTTTTTGGACAAACTACTTGTAAAAAAAATCGTTTTGGAGTGCCAAAAAATGCTGTTAAGTATGCATATTTTTATATATATTATGTAAAAATAAATAATTTTTTTGTAAAATACTAATTATATATATATATATTTCAGAAAAATTGCTGTTGTTGGTGCTGGCCTTATGGGAGCAGGTATTGTTCAAGTAAGCATAGATAAAGATTTTGATGTAATTATGAAAGATACAAATGAAACTGCTTTATATCGTGGTGTTCATCAAATACAGAAAGGAATGGATGCTGCTGTGAAAAAAAAAAAATATTCTAAGTTAGTTTTTAAAGTTTCTTAATTTTTAAAAATATGATACATGTTTATACACATGTATGAATACATAAAAATTCCAAATTATCAAATTTTATTATTCTTTCTTAAATTTATTTTTAGCTTTCAGAAAGATAAATATCTTTCTAAACTTGATTCTACATTAGATTATAGTTCATTTAAAAATGCAGATATCGTAATTGAAGCTGTATTTGAAGATATTACAATTAAACATAAAGTTATAAAAGAAATTGAAGCAAATACACCAAATTACTGTGTACTTGCAACAAATACATCAGCAATTTCTATTAATGAAATAGCTGCTGCGAGTAGTCGTCCAGATAAAGTAAGTATAATATTTAATATATTTTCTTTAGTATATTCTTTAGTATTTATATTCTTTTATTATTATTATTATATATTATATTATTATTATATATATATTATTATATATTCTTTAGTATTTAATTTAGTATAATTATGTTATAGGTAATTGGAATGCATTATTTCTCTCCAGTAGATAAAATGCAATTGTTAGAAATAATAACACATAAAGGAACATCGACTGAAACAATTAAAACTGCAGTTGATGTAGGCTTAAAACAAGGAAAAACAATTATTATTATTGGAGATGGTCCTGGATTTTATACAACAAGAATACTGAGTGCTTTATTATCTGAAGCTATTAGATTAATGCAGGTAGTCTTTATTTTTTTATATTTACTATTATATTATTGTTATATAGAATGTCTTTGAAATCATGATGCAAGTGAGATAATATAAAAATAAGTAAAAAAAAAAATATTTTTTGTTTAAGACATTATTTTTTAATAAATTAAGTTTCGAAATTTTTTAAATACAAATGAAATTGAAGATGATTACTCTATATATGGAAATAAAAAAATATAAAATAAAATTTTATATATATACAATATATATATAACATTTTATAAAATAATATTCAATATATAAAATTATATTCTATGAAAATAGGAAGGTGTGGATCCTATATATCTGGATAATTTAACTAAAAATTTTGGATTTCCTGTTGGAGCAGCTACTTTATCAGATGAAGTTGGAATTGATGTTGGTGCTCATATAAGTACATACCTTATAAAGGAATTAGGTGAACGTTTTAAAGGTGGAGATGTAAATATACTCAATGACATGGTTAAAGCTGGTTTTCTAGGTATTCAGTTTTTTATTATATAATATCGTGAGGCATGCCTCGCCTTACTTGGACAAAACATCGGACGATTTTTTAAATTTTGAAATCAAAAATACCTCGCAGTTCTTTGTTTGCTTTGTCTAAATACATATTGAAATAAAAGTATTAGTAATAAGTAATAAATAATTAGTAATAATTTTAAGCAAAGTTTATAATACAAACGTGTAATTGAATTGTACATTGTACAAAAAGATGATTTCAAAAACAAATTAACAGAACATATTTTTTAGAGATATTTTTGGAACAAAATAAATAATTTTGGAATAATTTTTTTTTTATGCTTTATAAACAAGTAGTATTAGATGTAAGTAAATACATGTATTCATTGTGGCTCAATCTGTCTTGTTTGCTTGCTTCGCGTACTCTAAGTGATAATATAATACATAAAATCTCGAGGCGGCTTCGCGGGTCTGTATAGAACTTTACATTTCTTTATGTATATATATTTAACGAAATACATGTTATTTTCAGGAAGAAAATCAGGCAAAGGAATATATATATATGAAACTAATGTTAAGAATAAAAATGTTAATCTTTCAGCATTAGATATTTTAAAAAAATATAAACTTGAGCCAAAAGGAAATACAACTATTGAAGATCGTCAATTAAGAATGGTATCTCGTTTTGTTAATGAAGCAATACTTTGTTTAGAGGAAAATATTTTAGCTAATCCGGTAAAATTTATAATTATATATATATAATATATTAGTTAAATTATTGAATTATATTATTTTTTATTGAACATAAATATTTTTTTAGTTGGAAGGTGATATAGGAGCTGTTTTTGGATTAGGATTTCCTCCATTTACTGGTGGACCTTTTCGTTGGGTAGATTCTTATGGTGCTGATAGATTAGTGAAAAAAATGGAAGAATTTCAAAATCATTATGGTGATGCATTTAAACCATGTCAAACATTATATGATATGGCATCTAATCCTAGTAAAAGTTTTCATAGATAGAAAATTGAATGTCTTTATAAGAATGAAACTTTAAAAATGCATTTTTGAAATTATGACAAATAGTAATTGCTTAAGAATAACCATAAATATTTAGAAATATTATATTTTTTTGATAAATAAAATGGATTTAATAATTAAATTTGAACTTTTTTCAATGCATCAATGCAAATTGATTAAATATTTTATCTCATAATTTATTATGAGATTTTTATATTATATTAGAAAATATATATTTTTATAATACAAATATTTTTATAATATATTATTTTTATAATATATTATTCATATCATCATATAACATCAGTCTATTTTGATAAAATAAAAATACAAACAAAATGTACATACTTTATATGAAATATATAATTTTTATTATTATTTAAGTTATAAAATATAAAAAATAAAATTATTATAAAAATTTAATAATAAATTTTCATAACAACATAAATAATTTGTTTAATTTTCCTTTATAAAAATTTACATCAGAAAAAGTAGCATGTATAAGCATGTATTATATACTATAAGCTATTTAATAATGAATGATTGATAAATGTATATGAATAAATTTATCGTCTAATTTCCATTTTTTATTTCCATTGAATTATGAAAGATGTAGGAGTGGAATTCTAGTTCTTGATGCAATGTTTAGAAGATATTGCACTTTATTGATGATTAAAAAATGAATTTTATATTTAATGATTTAAAGATTTAAAATAAATTTAATTTAAGTAAAATAAACAAATTTATAAAAACTGAATATAAAGTTACATTTAAATTTAAAATATAATAAGATATAAATATAATTATAATAAGATGAGATTTGTTTATTGTTATTTTTAGTATTTTTTATTATAAATAAAATTTAGAAGTAAAAAGATATTATTTCATATATAATATTTTTATAATAATTTATAATAATTTTTGATG